ATCACGTGTTCTCACTCATCTGTGGCAGCTAAAAAAGTTGATCTCATGGAGGTGGAGAGTAGAATGGTGGTACCAGGTACTGGGAAGAGGAGAAGGCAATGGGGGTGAAGAGAGGTTGGTTGATAAGTGGAAAAATACAGTTATGAAGAAGGGATAAGTTCTAGAGTTTGATAGCCCGGTAGGGTGACTATAGTTAACAATAATTTGTTGTATATTTCAAAACAGCTAAAAGAAAGATTTGGAATGTTCCCAATATGAAGAATTGATAAATGTTTGAGGTGATATCCCAATTATCATGATTTGATTACACGTTGCATGCATGCATCAAAATATCATATGTACCTTAGGAATATGTACAGTTGTGTATCAATTTAAAAATTAACTTTAAAAATTTACTGAATCTTAGTAAGAACAGTTAGAGTCTGTGACATTATATCCTGGAGATTCCATCCCCATCTACCACTTCTCAGCTCCATTGCAAAAAAGTTATACTAGGGAATTCATGTTGAAATACTGGCAGCTCTGCTCCCAAAAATAGCTAACTATATGGAGAGCAGAGCATGGGAAATTCCATTAACAGAAACAGTAATGGTTTGTTGGCAATAAGCAGGGGAAGCCTGAAGTTTTAGTACTGGTTGGAGCAGACAGTAAAGATCCTGAGAGAAGACCACAATTGGCTGGCCTTGATAAAATTCTACTTGTTCCTGGTTGGGTAGAAGATTATGTTCATGCATAAGGCTGTTCATATGCTTGAGAGATATTGGTGAAGGCCTTAGTGAGCTACTAATTTATGACTGAATGTGAAGCCTCGTAAGGCAGAAAGTAAAATCCAGGGCAGACTTGTACACTAGACAAACTTTGACTATATTCTCAAAGCCACATATAGATCCATTGGCAAAATATGGAAGCCTTCTAGGCTTACTGGCTCTGACTAGTCATTTGCTGGTCACTAAGCTATGCTGACTCCGTGGTAGCCCCTAAGAAGCCAAGTAAAGTACCACATGTTCTCATTGCAAATAGGAGCTAAACAATGGGTACACATGGACATAGAGAAAGGCATAATAAACACTGGAGATTCTAAAAGGTGGGAAGGTGTGGAGATTCTAAAAGGCAGGATAGGGTTGAAAAAAATACCTGTTTATTAGGGTTAACTGTTGAACCATGAGTACACTAAAAGCTAATAACCCAGTTCACCATGATGTAATATATCCATGTAACAAAACTGCCCTTGCATCCCCTAAATCTATAAAAATAAAATAGCAACAATTAAAAAAAAAAAAGAAATGAGAGAAACAAGCAGCTGCACAGTATGAAGGAAACAGTTCACAATATCAGTTTAGGCAAATCATTAAAGAATTGAAAGGAATACAGAGTTGCTGCAGTCTCAACTAGATCTAAAACATCATTTTCTACAAAAACTTTGAGACATGTAAAGAAAGAAGAAAGTATGATCCATATACATGAAAAATGAATTACTGGAAATTCTCTGAGGAAGTCTAGGTGTTAGATTCAGCACGCTTCAAGGCAGCTACATTCAAAGCTAAAGGAAAACATGTTTAAATAATTAAAGTCTGACAATGACTTATCAAATAAAGAGCATTAATAAAGAGATCAAAATTATTTCTTGGCCGGGAGCGATGGCTCACGCCTATATTCCCAGCACTTTGGGAGGCCCAGGTGGGTGGATCATGAGGTCAAGAGATCGAGACCATCCTGGTCAACAAGGTGAAACCCCGTCTCTACTAAAAATACAAAAATTAGCTGGGCATGGTGGTGTGCACCTGTAGTCCCAGCTACTCAGGAGGCTGAGGTAGGAGAATTGCTTGAACCCAGGAGGCAGAAGTTGCAATGAGCCGAGGTCATGCCATTGCACTCCAGCCTGGGTAACAAGAGCGAAACTCCGTCTCAAAAAAAAAAAAAAAAAAAAATTTGTGTTTTTCTCAAAAAAAATTATGCTCAGCACTCAGTACTTTTTTTAAAAGTCTGTATACACATTGAGGTTTTCAGCCATGGGGTCTAGCAGATATTCAGTGTTTTTCTACAGGAAGAGCATAGTGGGATAATATAGTTTCCTATGTTATCTGCCAGGTATCAGCTTATCTATGATAGTTGTCTTGTGTCTTCTATCACCTTAAGTTTAAACTCATTTGAAAGAAATCTCTTATCAAGAACTGAATAAATGACTCCTTATTTCCAAGACGTTTGGTTTGGGGAGCTGAGTAGGGAAGGAATCTATAACCCATAAGACCTCCTTCTTGCTTTCATATTGTGTGGCTTCTAATACATTTTAGACATTTGCTATGATAGCCCTGCCAATTCCCAGGGCCATAGAGGATGCTTATTCTTCCATTTAGTACCTTCTACATTCATTTAAAATTTCTTCCATTTTCAGGGATTTAAAATTCTCTCATTGTGTGTTTCTCGCATCACTATTCTATTTCAGCATTAGCCCAAATTTTAATGACCAGGCCTGAAGTGATGCTTCATATAAATGGGAATTGGCCACAAAAGAAGAAAAATAAAGATAAAAATAATTTTAAATTTGTGTTTAGAATATGATCTCTTCTATTATGGCTGTTATGTAGAATTTTTAACACTATTGTCCTTTTATAGAAAGGTATTGATAAAAACTGTTTTCTATTTGTTTTTGCATTATTTTAAGGATATTGACAATAGGGATATGCTCAATAAAAATGTTTCAATTATGAAATTATAACAATTTCAGTTTGAGTAATTTAAATTTTCCCTTTATTTTTTTAAAAAACTTTGATACATAATAATTGTACATATACCTAAGGTACATATGATATTTTGATGCATGCATACAGTGTGTAGTAAATCAAATTATGGTCATTGGGATATCACCTCAAACATTTATCAATTCTTTGTATTGGGAACATTCCAAGTCTTTCTTCTAACTATTTTGAAATATACAACAAATTATTGTTAACTATAGTCACCCTACTGGGCTGTCAAACTCTAAAGCTTATCCCTTCTTTATAACTGTATTTTTCTTTTCTTTTCTTTTTTTTGAGACGGAGTTTCGCTCTTGTTGCCCAGGCTGGAGTGCAATGGTGCATTCTCAGCTCACTGCAACCTCCGCCTCCTGGGTTCAAGCGATTCTCCTGTCTCAGCCTCCCAAGTAGCTGGGATTACAGGCATGTGCCACCACGTCCGGCTAATTTTTTGTATTTTTAGCAGAGATGGGGTTTCACCATGTTGGCCAGGATGGTTTCAATCTCTTGACCTCGTGGTCCACCCGCCTCGGCCTCCCAAAGTGCTGGGATTACAGGCATGAGATAACTGTATTTTTCTGCTCATTGACCAAACCCCCATTCCCTCCTCCCCTTCCAAGTCCCTGGTAACCATCATTCTACTCTCAACCTTCATGAGATCAACTTTTTTAGCTGCCACAGATGAGTGAGAACATGCAGTATTTGTCTTTCTGTGCCTGGCTTATTTCACTTAACATGATGTTCTCTGTTTCCATCCATGTTGTTGCTAATGAATAGATTTTTTTAATAGCTGTATAATATTCCATTGAGTACATTTCCCACATTTGCTTTACTCCTTCATCCACTGATGGATACTTAGGTTGATTTCATATCTTTGTTATTGTGAATAATGCTGTGATAAATATGGGAGTGCTGATGTCTCTTTGATATGCTGATTTTATTTCCTTTGGCTATATACCCAGCAGTAGGATTACTGGATCATATGGTAGTTCTATATGTAGTGTTTTGTGTTTTTTTTTTCTTTTTGAGAAACCTTCATACTGTTTTTCATAGTGGACTATACTTATTTACAATCTCACCAACAGTGTATGAGCATTCCCCTTTCTCCACATCCTCACCAGCATGCATTATTTTTTTTGTCTTTTTAAAATAAAAGCCATTTTAACTGGGTTGAGATTTCTTATTGTGGTTTTGATTTGATTAGTGATGTTGAGCATTTAAAAAATATATCTGTTGACCACTTTCTTTCTTCTTTTCAGAAATATCTATTCAGATCTTTTGCTCATTTTAAAATCAGGAATCAGATTATTTGTTTGGTTTTGGTTTTTGCTGCTGAGTTTCTTATATATTCTGGTTATTAATCCCTTGTCAGATGAGTTGTTTGCAAACATTGTCTCCCATTCTTTATTACATCTCTTTACTTTGTTGATTGTTTCCTTGGCTGTGCAGAAGCTGTTTAGCTTGATGTGACTCCATTTGTTTATTTTTGCTTTGGTTGCCTATGCTTTTAAGATGTTACTCAAGTAATCTTTGCCCAGATCAATATCCTAAAGCATTTCCCCAATATTTTTTGCTAATAATTTCATCCTTTCATGTCTCACATTTAAGTATTTAATCCATTTTAGTTCAATTTTTGTATGTGGTAAGAGATAGGCATTGTTTTTATTTTTCTTGCCTAAGAATATCCGGTTTTCCCTGCACCATTTATTGAAAAGACTGTCCTTTCTGCAATGTATGTTCTTGGTGCCTTTGTCAAAAATGAGTTAACTTTAAATGTGTGGATTTATTTCTTCATTCTCTTTTCTGTTCCACTGACCTATGCATCTGTCTTTATTCTAGTACCATGCTGTTTTGGTTACTGTAGTGTCACAGTTTAATTTGAAGTCAGGTAATGTGATGCCTCCAGCTTTGTTCTTTTTGCTCAGGATTTCTTTGGCTATTGTAGTTGGGTTTTTTTTTTTTTTTTTTTTTTTTTTTTTTTTTGTGTGTGTGTGTGTGTGTGTGTGTGTGTGTGTGTGGTTCCAAATACATTTTAGGATATTCTTTGTTGTTGCTGCTGCTGCTGTGTAGAATGTCATTAGTATTTTGATAGAGATTGCATGACTCTGTAGATAGCTTTAGGTAGTATAGGCATTTTAACAATATTGATTTTTCCAATCCATGAACATGTTTCCATTTTCTTGTGTTCTCTTCAGTTTCTTTCGTCAGTGTTTTATAGTTTTTATCATAGCAATCTTTCACTTTTCTGGCCAAATTTTTTTTCTTTTTTCTTTTTTTTTGCTATTGGAAATGGGATTGCCTTTCTGATCTCTTTTGCAGATTGTTTACTGTTGGCATATAGAAATGCTGATTATTGCAGATTAATTTTTTATTTTGCAACTTTACTAAATGTGCTTATTCATTTTAATTTTTGGGGGGGAGTCTTTATGTTTTTCTAAGTATAAGATCATGTTTTTTATAGAAAAGGATAATTTGACTTCTTTTTCAATTTTGATCTGCTTTATTTCTTTCACTTCCCTAATTGCTCTGGCTAGGACTTCCATTACTATGTTGAATATAAGTTGTGAAAGTGGGCATCTTTGTCCTATTTCAAATCTTAGTGGAAAGGCTTTTCATTTTTTTCCCATTCAGTATAATATTAGCTATGAGTTTGTTATATATGGCCTTTATCATTTTGAGGTATGCTCCTTCTATGCCTAGTTTATGAAGGGGTTTTATTATGAGTGGATGTTGAATTGTATTAAATGCTTTTTCAGCACACTTTGAAATGATTATACTTTTTTGTTTTTGATTCTGTTGATATTATATATCATATTTATTGATTTGCACATGTTGAACCATCCTTGCATCCCTGGAATAAATTCCATTTGAGCATGGTAAATGATCTTTTTCATGTTGAATTCAATTTTCTGATATTCTGTTGAGGATTTTTGCATATGTTCTTCAGGAATATTAGCCTGTATTTATTTTTTTTGTTGTGGTTTTTTTTTCTGATTTTGGTACCAGGGTAATGCTAGGTAAAATAGGTTTTCTTGTATCTTCAATTTTTTGTAATATTTTGAGTAGACTTCTTATTAGTTCTTCTTTAAATATTTGGTAGAATTCAGCAGTGAAGTCACAGATCCAGAGCTTTTCTTTTAAAAGAGAGTTTTTATTACTGTTTCAATATTGTTAGTCATTATTGGTCACAGGGTTTGTATTTTTTCATGGTTTAATCTTGCTTTGTAGGTTGTGTGTATTCAGGAAAAAATTTTGTAATCTCTAACAGACCTGGAAGGTCTAATCTGTAAAAATTGTTTCATTAATTGGTATAGGTCAATTATTTATATAAGAAAATAAACTTGGGCTGACTGTTGTGGCTTAGGCCTGTAATCCCAGCACTTTGGGAGGCCGAGGCTGGTGGATCATCGGAGGTCGGGAGTTTGAGACCAGCCTGACCAACATGGAGAAACTCCATCTCTACTAAAAGAACAAAAAATTAGACAGGCATGATGGCACATGCTTGTAATCCCAGCTACTAGGGAGGCTGAGGCAGGAGAATTGCTTGAACCTGGGAGGCGGAAGTTGCGGTGAGTGGAGATTGTGCCATTGCACTCCAGCCTGGGCAACAAGAGTGAAACGTCATCTCAAAAAAAAAAAAGAAAAGAAACTCAACATTTTATCCATAAAAAATATAATTTCAGAATTTAATATTTGTGTTAGTAAAATTATAACACTGATAGCATAAAAGTGCTATTAATCCTTAAGAAAGAGTTGCCTTTCCTTTTCTATCTTCATCACAGCTAGCCCAATCTCAGTCTATTTCATTAGCTTCCTACAGGCTTGCTCTCTCTGTTGCGCGTGCTCTCTCTCTCTCTCCCTCCCCCTCCCTCCCTTCCTGTCTCCCACTTTCTTTTTTCTTTAAGACCCTCAGAACTATAGCTGATCCTTTCACTTCATTCAAACTCTTCTGCTTTGTTTCCATTTTCCACAAATGTTCCTATTTAGCCTAATTTTCTACTCTATGGGCAATAGCAGCATGGTGTAGTAGAAAGAGCCTTAGAGCACACACATGGTCTCCTTTTTCATTTTGCCAATTACTAGCTGAGTAGTCTTAGACAAGTCACTTAACTTCACTGAGTCTTGATTTCTGTATCTACCAAATTCTAAGAGTTGTAAGATGTATTCTTAAATATATACGAAGTACCTAGTTTAATGTCTCATATTTAATAACTTCTGTGTTTAAACTTTAAAACAATCCTGTAAAACTAAAGTTAAAAAAGCTGAGACTCTGGATAATTAAATAAATTGCCCAGGGTCTCACAGCTTATAAAGGACTGGGCTGGAATTCCGTTTCAAGTGTGCCTGACTTTTAGCAACGATGCATTTTTATGCTGGCCATACCAGGCCACCTGTGCTCTGCTTTTATCATACTGCACCTGTGTCTATTCTCTGAATTCCTTTTTAACTCTAACACAAACATTTCATTTTACTGTTTTATAACAGTTTTACACAGATAGTTCTACTTCCCCTTTTAAAATGTCCCTCTTTGAAAGCACAAGCATTATTGTGTTTTATTTTTCACAGCCCCAGCAGAGTATTAAATACCCATACAGTACTCAATAAATATTTGATTTACATAGTACTATTTCTCATTTTGTTTCATTATTATTTTGTACCTTTTATATCTCTTTTTATAGCTCATGTCAGCAACCACGGGGCACTTTCCATTTGGACGATGGCGAATACTGGTCCAACAGGGCAGCCTCTTATAAGGGAAAATCCCACCGTCCCATCTTTGAGAACAGCATGGACAAGATGTACAGAAACTTATACAAAAAGGCCTGTAGTTCTGTTTCTCATACGCAGGAAAGCTTCTGAGAACATCCACTTAAACTGCATGAGTGTCCGTGTCAACTTCTCAATGAAAATGTTTGATATGATCAATATCTGTATTTCTTTTTTTTAAATGGGATTATAACTAAGTATAATAGTTAGACTTGAATAAGTTTATTACTTCAAATGAGAAATTGTCATAGGCAAGCCTTTTAAAATAATTATTGCAGAAGAGTCTGCTGTGTTGCAAACATCAAAGCTCTGTCACACAGTCACAACTTCCAATATGTGAGAAGGATATTCTGTTACATGTACATCTCAAATTACCATCTACAAATCCAAAAATGTTCCTTTCTAGAAATGTTTTTCTCCCTTACCTTGTAATTTTCTTTTCATCTGCTTAACTGGTTATCTTTTCTGTGTGAGATTTAATTAACATTGACTACCTTTTATTGATGATGAACAAAATGACATACAGAAATGAATTTCCTAAAAGTTTAAACACTATTTTAACTAACATTTTCTACTTTTTCCTTTTTCAGAACAGGCTATTATATTTCTTAGCTCATTGACTCATTTTAAAGACTATATGACCATTCACTCATTTTTCTCTGAAAGAAGTACCTAAGTTGCTTAAAATGCATGGCAGTTATCTAGAAATACCAGTGGCCATGGATGATCAAAAATTTGAATAACTAGTTTTTAAATACAGAATTCTTTCCATGATATTTTTCTAGGGCCAAACGCTTTGGTGCAACCAGAATCAGAAAATAGCTTCTGTTGGTAAGCTTATAGAAACTCAAAAATAATAATGGAATTATATTTTAATTTGAGTCTTTGGGATTTGTGTATCATATGGCCCAAGAAATTATTGTAGTATCCTCACTTTAAAAAAACACTTAGAACGACAGTGTAAAATATTACAGCAGAATACTTTGTGGTAGGCACTGAACATTTTGTTGATTGATGGATAGACTTAACTTCTCCTCTCCCACCCCAAGACACACCTGTGAAGCCAGTGATACTTTGAAGATATAAAGAAATCAGCTACTTTATAATTGCTAGAGAGTGAGGGGAGGAAAAGGAGAGAGTAGGGTAAGTGAACTTGGGTTATAGTCTTAAGAGTTGACTAAAAGATATTTTCTCATTGACTCTGTTTTTGATTAATTTTACAGTTATGATTGAGGAAGAAAAAAATGAGCTTCCTTTAAAATGAAATTAAAATGTGAAACTTGGTGACTTATTTTTGTAATAGAACTTGTTAACCATGTTACGAGTGCTTTAGTGTCACAGTCTGTGACGTGTCAGAAAGAGCATTAGCGCTCTCTCTCTGTGAGCCAGGAGTCCTAGGTTTTAGTGTCCTGTGTCTAGCTGAGTCTATTTTATTCTCAGATCCTTTGTTTCCTCAGCTATCAAATGTTGAGAATGGAGTAGACCCCAAACTGTGTTCTGCGGACCAAGACCACTGTTTTAGGAGATGAATGTAGGAATGTAGATAGAAGTATGTGATGTAATTGGTTATGCAAGTTTAGGAAAATCTGTTTGCTACACACACACACACACACACACACACACACACACACACACACAGCCTACACCTCTTCAGAGAGTCCTAAGTAGAATTATAGAAGTAAAAAGAGATGATTTTAATGCTGGAACAGTGCCTATAAACTGGGGCTGTCTACAGCAAACTAGGATATATGGTCACCATGCTCATTGTGAACCCTAGCCTTTAGTGTTAGAGGCTTTAAGAAAATTCTGGTATAAATCTGTTTTGCTCTAGTATCTAATAGACAGCCTGGCATGTAGTTGACATTCCTTAAATATTTATTGAATTAACCCAGAATTTTCTAAACTAAATTTAGCATGTAACACTATTTGTTATTCTGGGCGCCATCCGTCATTCCCTTAGCCCCTCACACTACCTGCCAGTGTTATCCTGAGATACGTGTGGATACCTAGGCTGCAGAAATACTGGACTGCACAATTGGTGAGTTACCCTCTGGCTGTAGATTATATGATGAGGTGTTTTACAATAAGCTTTTGAAGGTCAACATTAAATAATGCTCTTTTACAAATATATGTATCCTCAGTGTTTTTCTGTGGGAAAATAAAAAGTCTTTTAAGAGTTGCTCTTTGGTGAAAAGAACAAACATGACTTTCAAAGAAAATGTTTTACTACTACCAAAATCTCCTGAGTGAATAAGCACCACAGAAATGACTTATTACACCTATATCTGCCATTGGCTCCGACCAAGGCTGCAAAAAGTAGGGCTTCTGAAAGGGAAACTTTAGAATCTGATATTCTGAAAGATGTTTTCCTGTGGATTAAGGTTAGTGTCTTTCTGAAAGTTGGGGGAAAATTTCCTGGTAAATATTAATAGCATCTTTGCGAAGTGTCTGATTATCTTCTATTCCCTGGGGAGAAGAGTGGTCCGTATTGCTCTAACTACTACTGTGAGTACTTACACTGTACTGTTTTTAAAGAGCAAAACCTTTAAGTACTAATAGTTGTATTTTCTCATTCATAGGAGCAGAAAGGTGCAGTTGTTTATTCTCTTAGTCTTTCTTCCCCCTGTATTTCCTACAAATCTAAGAATAATTATTGGAGTCAATATGAAAGATACATAGGCATTTCTTCTTACTTTTTAATGTTTTTCTTTAAATTATAAAAAACTTGGGGATTTAAGAAAATGTCAAAATCAACAAATAAATGTGAATTATTGGAATGAGACTCTTCCCTGGTTCTACTGGCTAGTTATGTAACCTTATTTAAGTCATTTATGCTTTTTGGAGCTCAGTTTTCTCAACAATAAGGTGATCAAAGAGTTAATCTAGAATGATCCTTTGACATTTTATAATTGTACAATTA